GGAGGTCACACTCGGGGAAAGGCGGACGGGATTGTAGTCAAGACAATTGGAACATTTACGCTATCATCTGTAAAACGGATATTCCATAACGGTCAACCAACTCGTGATGGCGTTCTTAAAATTTACGTAGGGATGACTTCAACTTCACCACTTGGAACTCTTGATTTAATAGCTTCCTTGTGAGAACAATCCTCTATCAAGGAAATCATGATAGGAAATACAAGCCTTGGGATACCGTATCAATTGGGAGATATATACTCCGTATGCAGGCGCTGCTAGAATGTTGGTATATAGAAATGGAAAGTCCACAATAGGGAAGCTGAATTCATCCCTTTTGTCGTAAAGTTTTATTTCAACCGACCCTCATTGTCAATTTCTAGATGTAAGTCAAGATATGAGGCAGACTTAACTGTATCTGTTGTACCCTTTATCTCAAGTTCGATGGGATAGATGCGTTCAACATAGTAACCAAATTTTGAATTATCTAGTGAGAGAACATCATCTTTATAGAGGAAAGTAAAGTTAAAGGATACTGTAACTTCAAATAACTTTAACAGCTGCATTAATTTCTAAATAATTAGTCGTACTTAATGTTGTTCACCTGACTGGCGGTTACTTCATTTTGAAATAAGCTTTCAGTTGCAGTTTTGGAATTTAAAAAAAACTAAGGTTTGGGCGCAAAAGCAAAATAAAAGATAATACTTTATTTGAAGAGTTTCCATCGTCAATTGGGGATTTAACGGTCGAGAACGCCGTTTTTACTCGCAACGTGTAGCGTCTTTTGAGTGCATGGAAGATTGCCTAACTGTTGGTTGTCTCTGTTTAAGTTGTTCACACCTTTTTCTAGAATAGGTGCACGTTAGAGCTTAACCTATTTTATATACTTTTGTCTATTGTTGAAGACCGTATGTTGATCTCTAGATTTTTTTTGTATGTCGTTTAGTTGCTGTCTCATTGACGTATACCTACAAAGAAGCATCTCCTTTTCATTATAAATAAATGTGATTTACAAGGATTTCCCAAAGATAGACAAAAGACTAAAATGGTCCGTTAGTTTTTTTCTGCTTTGACATTCTAAACAATATACTAGTAAAAGGTATGGCTATTAAGCAAACTATCCATATTAAAGCTAAAGAACAAATATGTGAGCTGTAATTATTGCAGGAAGTGTGTTCTGGCGATTGCACAAGATTTTGGCTTCCTGTACTTTTTATGATATGAAAATCTGATGCGGAGTACAATAACCGATAGAAGAGTCTGGGGCAGCATGTTAAGTACTTTCAGCTTGTAATCTGTAACTGAGAGCATTTTTTGATATGGCATACATCATCATTATTTTTGTACTTGTGCTTTTGTTATCATTCATACCGTAATTATAGAGTTACAAAAATGTAAATGATTTACTGTAATGATATTTGTTACATGTGTTTAAGTTCCTTTTATGTCCACTGAACGAGATAAAAAAAGGGGGAGGGTTGAGAAATATATACACTTGTTTAGTTCCATGTATTATATACCAGTCCCAGGTCGGGACCTCGTTACAAATAATGGTTGTCTTAAGTCATATCTCAATGTTTTTGTTATGTGGAGAGTTTGTTGTAAATGGCAAAACCTTGATATCTTCTGCTGCATTTAATCACATTATTTTCCATCTTCATGAACATTTAGAGCTTGATATCTGTACCTGTAATTGAATTCTGCATACTGGCCTCTAGATTTGTTTTGATATTTGTGTCAATGGGTTGTCATCATTGATGTTTACCCCCAGGTCTTTTTATTTTCATCCTAGAACAAGCGAAACTTCAGAAAACAAGTATCCTGAGATCTTAGCTAAACTTTACAAAAGTCTGCCTAATCACGAGCCGGACATTCGTTATATTATTAGCCGCGGAGTTGCACTGCATTCAACTCACCGACAGTACATAATTATATACTCTTTGTCATTTGGTTGTCTCATTAGCAATCAAACCACATCTTCTTATCTTTATATTTACACACAAAACATTGTAATTTTGATGTAGGTATCCTACAAAGAAAAGCGCTAAACAAATCACTATTTACTTAACTCCCCTAGTACGTACCCCTATAGTGTTATACAACTGAAGCATGTTTCCTTTATTCTATACATGTCTATAATACACTGATGAAATTGATCGCATAATATTTAAGGAAAAAATTTAAGTGGTTTACATGTTTTTCCCTCTCGATTGATAAAGTTGATCGAGCAACAATCATTACATCATACAGTTGTCCGACCAAAATTATTAACTCAAGGTTCTGCTTTCGTAAAAAAACAAACAAGAGTTTTGTATTATTTGAATATGCTCTCAATAACTGTATTGAATACGTCAGAATTAAAGAACATTTATTTAGTATTTGCCATACAGTAAAAAATAAAAAAATAATCTTTTTTGGTATGACAAAGATTGTCTTTTGTTTGATAAAGAGTTGTAAAATATGTTGAAAGACTAGCTTTACAGGTGATGTCCTTCAATGATTTATCTAGTGGTTATTGAAACAGGTGCCCTTAATTTGACAACATGACATTGGACTATCTTGACCTTTTCAAATGGTTTGAATTTTTGTAATGAAAAACTATATTAACCACCACTAAGTCCTATATACACTTTCTGTTGAAGAAAATTAGGACGAAATATTATGATTGGAAGCAGTTGAATAATAACATAAACGGTACCAATTTTTCTGCACCAGATGCGCATTTCGACAATCAATGTCTCTTCAGTGATGCTCGAGGCCAAAATACTTGGAAAATCCAAAACTTATTAAAAATATGAAGAGCTATAAACAAAAAAGGACCAAAAAGTATAGCCCAAAGCTGGGCAAGGAATCAGAGCTTTGCACGAGGGAGATACATTCCTTAACTTTAAATAATTTTCAAAATTTTTTAACAGCAAATTTTAATGACATAAAATCCGTATTTTCATGGTACTAACATAAACGGTACCGATTTTTCTGCACCAGATATGAATAAAGTTCACCTGAACTAATATTAATTCTAACATTTTTAAAATTTAATATTTCAGGTATTTTGTTACCAAAATAGCGTCAATGATACTTGGAAAAAAATAATTCATCGCTGCACATATGATAGGACACTATCACTGGATCACTGTTGGTGGTGGGGGTTCGGTTGGGAGGGGGCTGTTACCATTACTTTTATTTCAAAAACTAGATGTATGACTTATTGATAGCAGAATCAGAGAGTATACACTTACGTGTATTGTAGTGTGGTAGAATCTAGAATAATGGCGAAGGTTGATAAGTTTAAGAATAAAGGGCTTATTTCCTGAATGTCAAAATATCCTTTAGAATTTGTGTATAGACTATAACAAATCCGTCACTTCATACTTCATTTTGTTGAGGAAGTTATCTTTAATAGTCACCCGTAAAGTTAGAAAAAATACTGATAACCAACATTAAATGAACTTTCATAAACAAATGCATGAAACCGTGAAAAGCAATTTAGTATTTTGAAATCAACCTTGATATGTATACGTTGCTTTTGCTTATGGTGACAGGTAAATATTTTTGTAGTGATTACTTTGTATGCTACAGTCAAATATCTCTTTACAACTTGATTTAGAGTCATAATGAGTAATCCAATAGTGCTGTCATTATAAAGGACAATTATTGCATTACATAGATGTTTTAAAAAGAGTCCATATATATAATTTTGATAAGCTGACAGCAATCGCGAGCTATAATATCAAAATAATATTTTATTTCCCAATATAATGTACACTAATTTTACAATACACACTAAAACAAACGAAAAATTTGATATTAATCGTAATTGCATGGTTAAAGCATTAACATGTAATTCTAAGAATTGAAGATTTTTTTGTAATTATATGGGAAATTATGGTTACTAAAAGAACCATTCAATTCTTAAATTAAGTTAACCTGAACTAAAATTGATCGGCTTTATTTAGATTTTCAAGGGAAATCATTAAATTTCCAATACTCTACACTGAATTTATATAACATTTACAGTATAAACACGTACGCAAATACATGATAACCGGTAAATCAGCAAGCTACCAGGTATCGGGTATGCCTCGAAAATGGTCTTTAAATATCCAACATAAATATTAATTCTGTTCTGAGAATCATATTTCGTAAATGCTGGTCTCTGGTTTTATCATTGAAATTGATATAAGTAAAGAACTTACGTGTATATTGACGAGTTCTCATGGTGGAACCTTATATTGATTACCCTGCTTTCATCCGACGTTCATCCAATCACAGGGAGTTTATGATTACCTGTCCTGACACACATTACCGTTTTTTTCACATTCACTCATGCAGTGAACAGTGACGATGTATTGAACTGTATAGATTATATCGCACCAAAAATTTCTTTTTAAAAACAACTTTTTCCGCATTCCAGCATTCGCAAAAAACGTTTTTGAGGTAACACAGCACTTTTTATCGATGGCCAGGACAATACAATTATTTCCGCTCAAAAATGAATAACAAGTATAATGTCGCTGAATTAGCCTACGAACACACAGCATTCATTAACCAAAAGTTAAACCGAAAGGAAATGATGAGCATTCAATACGCACACTATCTTTGTGAAAACCTATGCAATTCAGTATAGAAACTGGATAGTAAGTCAACAAGTTTATAGCGTAATTGAAGATTGTAGCTGTATTTTGTAACTTTCAAATACCACCCATTTTTTATGATGCATCATTTTTGCAAAGTAAATGTATCATGGACGGTCTAATTATATTAAGAGGGCAATATAAATGTATTGCAAAAATTGTAGAATGTTTGACTAGGATTTAACTCAAAGTTACACATACATTACTGTATGGTTCTTTGTGTCTACTTTGACATACTGCACTATAGCTATCCAATGAAAAAAATGTGGCAACATTCTTATTCGAAAAACCCTACCTGAACAGAGAAGTGGATTTGAATATATGTTAAAATAGCATTGAAATTAGACTTTGTATTGCTCGTATACTTACACGTGGTCTTGTAGCAAAATGTGGACTTCAAAAAACATGGAATTGGTTATGCAGGTTCTCTTGATAAATGTATTCCCATTTTAATCATTAAACACAGACACATATTCCTGCGACTAATAAGAGATTACAACTTTTGAATAACGGAAGTAAAATTCATTGAATGTTAACTGCGATTCCTTGTTAGTACATGCTTCTTTAATAGATCACGTGTTCATTGTTCCTTTAAAGATTATTGCAATTAGTCAACCGGGTAGCTATTCTAACTGAAATAGTATAATATTACATAAAACCGTTATGTTTGGCGGGTGTTTTTAAATAATGAACGACTATGTTTACATCAATGAAACTAAAGTATAATTTAAAAGTTGTAAAAACTCACCTTTCTTATATCCAATAATAGTTTAACAATGCAATAATTGACAACTATCAAGTACTGGGTCATAAGTGGCCAAATCTTGTAATTCATCATCAACCTTTTATAACTGAATGGTTTTTCTATAATATTTAAATTAAAATTAATGTAATCAGATGTTTATGTCACACATTATTTTGTACTAAATTTTATATTCAAAACTATTTAATTGTGTTGATTTCTATTACAGTTTATTAACGTGTACATTTCGTATAATGCACCAGGCATATTTAATTTATTAAATAGTAATGATCTCGAAATTCATAATGAATTTAAATGTCCGAAATATTTGTTTACACCTGAAACATGTTAGATTATAAATTTATATTTGTCAATACTTATGGTCAAGATTGAACTTAAATCTTACGGTTATTCAATATTTCTATTTGATCAATTATGTTTAATTCAATACATAAGCGTGTAAATAATTTCTCTTTGATAAACGGAATCAATCTGTTATCTAATTTCTGTTGACAAAATGACCATTACTAACTTTGTTGTTAGCAACGCTATTTGGTATTTAAAGAAAGATAAATTTTTATTAAGGGACTCCGTTTGGATATGCCAACGAGAGCACATGAACTGCGTTCGGATTTTCCATCGCAATCATATATATTGTTTTTGGTTTAAAATAACTAATTTGTAATACTGATATCTTATATTTGGACTTTATTAAATGAATTTGGACTTTACCAATTTGTTTATGTTTATTGTGATGAACTGCCGACTTGTGTGTGAATAAAGAGCTAGTACCCCGCATTGTGAATCGTTCCCATAGACGGGATCCCACTCAAAGCCATTCCGGCAATATTTATTAGGGAAAGTGATAAATACTTTCTCATATTTATACAATAATCATATTTTAAATACAATTGTGCGCATCATTCAGACGGGAACTAAAAAGGTATAGTCTAAAGCTTTGACTAGAAGTATGAGAACATATTTTTCCTTATATATACGCTAACTGAGTGTAAAATTTTAACTCTGTAGATAGATTTTGTTTAAAATCAATTCAAAAGAGAAATTCCACTTTAAAGAAAAAGAATTCTATTCAAATCATCATGCGAATCCAATTTCCTCTAATGAAAAAGATATTTTCCTTATATGACTAAATACCATGACCGTTTTTATGTTCGAGAGATAAATGACCAACTACACTGGCGACTCATTTAACATGCATTTGCAAATAAATAGATTTCGATTAAGTTTCGGACAGGAGTAATGTATAATTGTTGCGTGCAATTTTCAAGCTTTTAGCTATTAGGTAAAATTGATTCACTTACATATGACAAAACTACAATTTTCTAAATTTCTAAAGCGGGCTGTATATAAGGATGGTGACGGATGATGGAGCCCGTCCGTTCGTTCTTTCGTTCTTCCTTCAGTCGTCCAACACTTGCATCCGCCATTTCTCCTGAACCGCTTGACGTTATGTCATGAACTTTGACAGAGTTTTACTCACAAGGTGTACTTTTGAACCTTTTATTATATTTCTTTATATGAATGATATTTGTTGGTTTTCTTTTGGGATTTCACTGACCTTGTAATATCTGCACACTATCTGGGTATAGTACACATCTTTAATTTATTCGCTTCTTTGCCTACAACTGTAATCATAATTTAATGAAACTTTCTCTTAATCTTCACAATATAATGGCATTGTGCACCCCTTTTTTTGTCCGAATTATTTTGGGGTTTCCCTTACCAAAGCATGGACTTTGCCATTTGCTTAATTTTGGGATAACAATTTTGTATCCATAACTCCTTCTAAACCCCTTACTACAAATTATGGAAATTTGTTTAACGTCTTAACCATAAAATGTATTTGTTCACCTTCTATTTAAAGCATGGACTTTGCAAGGGGTGGGCTATAGCTTTGTGACCATTACTCGCATTACCACTAGTTTAAAATAGATTTGAGTTGAGAAATTTCAGAGCTTAAATAAAATAAAAAAAGATAAAGGAATAAATAATATGAATAAAACAAGTGTGGGGTAATAGTCAAAGAAACAGCAACCCGGAACACTAGCAAAGTAAGAAAACATCTGGACCGGTCATATCAAGGATATATCATCATGATGGCAAGTAATTATAAGTTGTCTTTGAATATCTTTCAATGTAACAGTTCACTCAAAACCTTTCTGAAATGGCTCAGAATGTGGCGTAAAGTAGAATTAATCGGGTTGTACAAAAATCCAGGAACAAAAACAATGTTAAACTCGTAACACATTATAAGGTGTGTACCTTCATGTAAAATATTTGTAAACTTTGGATGTATGAATTAAAGCGGAAAAAAAAGGCCTGGAAAAATGAATAAGTTCGCGGAATACTCACAAATAACAGAAGCCCACCTCCGATACGATTTTTAATATTCTGTCGAATTTAAGAATCTTAGACTTAGAATAGTTTAGTTTAGTTTAGTTTAGTTAAGTATATATGAATAGAGGGGCCATGTACCATTTTGGATCACTTCCTAGAAAAAAATTGTCTTGACTGTAATCTACATCGCTAGATTTGTTATTTTTTTTTAGTTTCTTAGTTAAACAGTAGAGCAGCATCGTACATTCGTCAGTAGTAGTACCACTCCAGGTACGAGAAGTGATTCTTTTTTGAAATCACCTTATTTTTTTATATTAGCAAGATTTGGCACAATTTGCTTTTGAAAAGTTTGCTATTCAACTTTGATTTGGCCTACCAAATGTTTTGATTCGAATGCCTCAATCGGATAATTAGAGAAGAAGCGATGTTCCTCGTGTCGTATTATACATAGATAATGAAGATTTTTAAAGTACCTCTTTGTATGAAGTTCAGAATTTTAAATGTAAATAAAACTAATGACTCTTGTGTAAATGGCACGATTGTGTCCTATTCGAATGTCTCTAATGACTCTTGTATAGATGACACGATTGTGTCCTATTCGAATGCCTCTAATGACTCTTGTATAGATGGCACGATTGTGTCCTATTCGAATTCCCCTAATGACTCTTGTATAGATACACGATTGTGTCCTATTCAAATGCCTTTAATGACTCTTGTATAGATACACGATTGTGTCTTATTCGAATTCCCCTAATGGCTCTTGTATAGATACAGAATTGTGTCCTATTTGAATGCCTTTAATGACTCTTGTATAGAGACACGATTGTGTCCTATTCGAATGCCTCTAATGGCTCTTGTATAGATACAGAATTGTGTCCTATTCGAATGCCTCTAATGACTCTTGTTTAGATACACGATTGTGTCCTATTCGAATGCCTCTAATGACTCTTGTATATATACACGATTGTGTCCTATTCGAATGCCTTTAATGACTCTTGTATAGATACACGATTGTGTCCTATTCGAATGCCTCTAATGACTTTTGTATAGATGGCACGATAGTGTCTTATTCCCTATTGGGATATAGTTTCTCAGTGTGGATTCGCATGGCGATTGATGCAGGCTCAACTGATGATACCCTTGCCCTGTCAACGCTCCCGGTCTCAGCCCGTTTTCAGTTCAAGCGATTCCCGATAAGTTTTTGTTTTCTATCTGGATTTGTGTATTCAAAATGGATTTACAAGATTTGAACATCGGTAAACTACTGTAGTATGTAGTTTACAAAGTATGTCCTTGATCAAAAAGGAGAGAAGATACCAGTAAGCAATCAAAACCATAAGTCAACGAAAAACAGACAATACCATGGCAAAATATATCCTTAATCAGATGTCCAATACGCTTAGCTTTCACCCCTTAAAACCCCCCTTACTCACTATTCAGTGTGACTTAGGGTAGATCCCTTTCTAGAGAAGTAATAAATGTTCACTCAAGATAAGGGGGTTCTTCTACAATTGGTGTAATGGCTGGAATTTCATCTGCTTTAAGAGCATAGCGTGCCATCAATTTTATTGGATATTTCGATTTTTATTTCTGCCTTTTTCTAAAGTTCTCAATAAATACGACTTTTCATATGCTGTTGTATAAGTTAGGTCAAAAGTTTACTGTATTTGTTTGACAGGTTTACAAGTGGCGGATTTTTAATATCCAATGTTCAAACTATTCAGTATTATCTCATAGAATATTAGCAACCGGTCTCTCAAATACAAGATGCTCATATTCATGCTTTCCTCGACTGCAGCCACACCGCTTACAGTAATTAAAGAAAGTAAATCTTTTGACTGGTTGACACTATGATCCTGCAGAACTTAATATGACTCTGTTCATATGAACTTCCCTGTTCGGATGGGAGTCTTTTAAGGAAAACAGATTAATATAAGTATTGTGGGAACTTCATAAGTTAGAATAATCCATTAAGGTTCCAGAGATGATATCAGTTAAGCTGTCACTGAGGATTTCCAAAGAAATACAGTCTGTTGATTTCTACCTACAATACGACTTCAGAAGCTTATCTTCAGAAAAGAAGGAACACATTCAATATCAATGTACTTTTTATAAAGTAAAACTCTTTCTGTTTTTCTTTTTTTTATCTGGCACTTGTTCCAAAAGAACCAGAGTTGAATACTTGATAGATCTGTTTGAGATATCTTAATCACATCAATAAAAACATTGAAAGCACAATTTGGAAATCATTTTCTTTTTCACAATATTTTAAAGATAACACAAAATAAATAACGAAAAGTACAAACTACAGCATATACACTTGCTTAATCGTGCTGATTAATTCAACCGGATAGTTAGAGAAGAAGCGATGTTCCTCGTGTAGTATTATACATAGATAATGAAGATTTTTTAAAGTAGCGCTTTGTATGAAGTTCAGAATTTTACATGTAAATGTTAATAAAACTTTAAAAAATGCATTCAA